AACAGGGGCAGCTAGATGTTGCAGTGGATAGAGCACCAGCCCTGAAGTCAGGAGGACCTGAGTTCAAATCTGACCTCAGACCAAACACTTGACACTTACTAGCTGTGTGACCCGAGGCAAATCACTTAGCCCCAATTGCCTAAAAATAAAATAAAATAAAATACATGTTAATTCAATCTAGAGGTTCTTAATCAAGTTCTTTATAGAATTTTTCTACCTTCTCATCCTCTGCAACAGATGTTGGCTCATAAACTAGAAGGTATTGAGGTGCAATAGATAACGCCCATTTATTCTTGGAGTAAATTCCTGCTTCTGACACATACTGACTATGTGGTCCTGGACAAGTCACTTAACTTCTCAGTGTCCCAGGCACTTCTCTATTATAGATTGCAGAACAATTGCTAATTTGCATCGAGACTATCCCTCAGGTGGTGTTCTCTACTGTGATAAAAATCACAAACTTGTACAAAAACAAACCCCCAACCTACCTTTCAATAACCTCTTGATCCTGTTTCTAACTTTTTTCTGCTTCAAAACCATGCTTCATCTGTGCTGACTCAGGTTGGAAATTCCTTCGGTACCTGGGGCCTCCTCTTTCCCGTGACCTGTTCACCCTAATACATCCCCCTACAAAGCCTGCCTCCCTTCTCCCATAGGTGAATTCCTCCTAAAGTCTCCATTTTGTGGAGATGCCCAATCAGCCTGCCTTCACACCCCTCTGGGCCTTGTTCCTGACTTTCTAGACTTCAAAAAAAAATGCCCCCCACATTGAGTTCCTTAGTTCCCAGCCCTTTCTCCTTCCCTACCCTTCACTCCCTCCCACCCCTTCTCAGCTCCCTTTTGTGGGTTATCTTACTCTATTAGAATGTAAGCTTTTGGAGGGCAGGGATTGTCTTTCTGCTTGTATTTATATCTCCAGTGCTTAGCATACTGCCTGGCACATTGAAAGTGCTTAGTAAATGCTTCCTTCCTTCCTTCCATTATGTGGCTCAAAGGAGACAATGCACATAAAACACTTTGTAAACTCTCAAACGTTACATGACTGTCAATTGTTACTTTAAACTGTAGTTATTCTCGTGATAGATGATGATGCCTCATCCATTTCCTTTCCCCTTAACCTTCTCCTCTTTCTAGCTTCCCTCTTACTGTTGAGGTCACCACCAGCCTCCCATTCCCCCAGCCTTGGTATCATCCTTGACTCACATTCATCCTATATAGCAAATGTTGCCAAATCTTGTCTTTTTTTTTTTTTAACCCCCACAACATCTCCATGTACGTCCTCTTTTCTCCACTCACACTGTCACTACTTTTGCAAAAGTCCTTGTCGAGTGTTGCCGGGACAGTTGCAATAGCCTTTCAACTAGGTTTCTCTAACTCAAGGCTCCCAGTACTTCAACCCATTCTCCAAACTGCCAAAATGTTTCTCCCAAAGTGCTTGTCTGGCCGTGTCACTCAATAAAATTGGGTGGCTTGCTACCACCTCAATGATTAAAGATAGAGTCCTTCATTCGGCATCTAAAGCCCTTCATGACCTAGCCCCTTCCTACTTTCCTGGTCTTACTCCACGCTAGCACTCTACAATCCAGTCACAATGGCCTACTTGCTGTTCCTCATACATCACCCTCTATCTCCTGACTCTGTGGCCTTTTCTCTGGCTTTCCTCCATGTCTAGAATGTTCTCTATCCTCACCTCTGCCTCCTGGCTTCCCTCAAGGCTCAGATCAAAGCCCACCTTCCGCAGGAAGCCTTTCCCTGTTTCCCCTTCTGCTAGCCTCTTCCTCCTGAGATCATGTGCCATTTGTACATCTCTTGTATGTGCGTTTATTTATATACTGTCTTCTCCTTGAGAATTCAAACTCCTTGAGAGCACAGACCGGTTTTTCCCCTTCTCTGTATCCTCAGAACTTAGCACAGCGCCTGGTACATAGAAGGTACTCAATAAATGCTTGTTGACTATACAGATGTTCACCATGAGCGTCATGCAAAACGACCCAAAAATTCCATGAAAGGATGTTTCAAAATGAGGTTCACTTGAACAATCAAGTCGCCTCCTGTGTTTTTCTCTCCAGAGAGAAACCAGGAGCCTCAAATTTAGCCATGACTTCTTTTTGTCTTCTGGCTCCCTTTACTGTGAGGATATCAGAACCAGAATGTGTCATTTCCCCAGGGAGTACGTTCCTAATTCTTGGGTCCCACACTGGACAAGACTCTCACATTGAGAGTGTCATAGATGGTCTAAATGTGTAGGATTCCCAGCACCCTCTGCCCTCTCTTCCATCCTTGTGCTTGCATCACGGCAGAGGTGGAAGGGGGCAAGGGACCATGAGACATGAAAGGTCACTTTGCATTGCATTGTATTCTTTGTATCATTGATTTCAGTGGTCAAAGAATTCATCTCTGAGTGGCCAAGCAGCAACTGTTCTACCAAGCTGCTGTTAGTCCTTGGAAAAGAGTCTGTAGTCAGGACCATACTAGAAGGCTTTCTAGTGTGGGAGAATGCACCATGTACTCAAATGGCATAGCATTCAAGAACCCAGGGTTACCTCTGTACCACTAGGTAGTTTAGGTAAAGTTTAAATGAGATGCCTTCTGGCTTCCTTTTGAACTTTAAATTCCTATGAGAATGGAGAGATACAGGCAAAGTGCTGTATTTGAGAGGGAGACATTCCTTCCATCTGGAGCAGGGGGAGTGGGGTCCCAGGGAAGGATTCATGGAGGTGGTAGCACATGAGCTGGGGCTTGAAGGGAGGGATTCCAACAGATGGAGGTGGAAGTGTTGGTATGGAGGGGAGGGTATTCTAGGCATTGGTGATGGGACAGAACAGAACAGGAGAGCAGTCTAATATGGCTAAAATATAATGGTAGATAAGGCTAGATGGGTAATTTGGAGCCAGACTATGGATGGCCCTGAATGCCAAGATCATTTTATACACTACTCACTGGGTGACAGGCAACCAAGGACAGTTTTAATTAGGGTTGGTCCAATCTCCTAAGCAGCTGTGTGTGGTTACGGACTATGTTTTATTTTATCATTTTGCTTCATCTATTTAACTGACTCCGGCAGCACAAAGCCCAGCTTGCACACAGAAGATGCTCAGTTTGTTGAATGAATGTTGGGCTTATTGTAGTTGCCTAGAAAGCGCTCACTGCTTGGCCTAGTGACAAAACCGGGTTTCAAATCCTGCTTGTGCCATGTGCTGTCCATGTGACTCCTTGGTTTGCTGGGTAAAAGGTGGCTTTAGACTAATTGGTCTTTCAAATCTCCTTCAGCTCTCAATTGATAATCCTTTCCATTCCAGAAAGTAGAGACACATATTGGGGGAAGAGCCTCAATAGGAGTCCAGAAACCGGAATTCTAGTTTCAGCTACCACTGTCTTTGTGACTTTGGATGAGTCATTTTTCTACCGCTGGCTTCTCAATCTCCTTTGTAAGCATGGACAACATTTGACATCTTCTCCTATAATAAGATAGGAAAATGTTTCTTTGCAAAATTATGAGTCTGAATGCCCAGAGAAGGAATTGTTACCTCCCTTATTATTCTTCAGTGGCTTTAGAAAGGCTACTTCCTTATCTCACCCATGAATTTTGTGACCACTGATGTTAGTCACTCTTGCCTTTGAGTTGTGGGGATGTTCATACTGGCTGCACCTTTGTGAGGGTCCATAACTTCCCTAAGTCACCGAAATCAGTGGTGGCTGGGAGAGGGAGGTTCATGGAGAAGTGGTTTCCCTATATTAAGGACAGTTGGGGGGCAGATAGAGTGGCTCAGAGGGGGTATAGTCTCCCCATTTGCCTCATCCTAAGAACCCAGTTTGACATAGTGGGTATGGTGAGTGAACCAGTGAATCCTGGCAGGTCCAGTATGGGTCCTTTCTCTTGGGAAGTGGCCCAACGCCAAGGCTAAGGAGAACCCAAAGGCTACTGTATGAAGGAGAGGCAGGAATGTGAAGAAGCTGACGTAGATGTGGCCACAGTCCCAAGCTACATGGGGACTGGAGATTTCTGACAAAGGTCTTCTTTGTGACATCTAGAAGGGATTTCAAAGGTGATTTAAAGGGATAGGAAGGAGGTTGTCAAGGATGATGAGCATGACAGATTAAGTGCGGGGGGTGAGGAAACAGTAAAGAAGATAGCAAATTATGTAGGGGTATGCAGGCTCAGAGAGTAATTCAGGCTTCAGTGATGGGATTGGGACTCAGAGAATAGAGACTCAGTGATTGATTCAGGGGCTCAATGAGAGAATAAAGTCTCATTGACAGGATGGGGACTTGGTGAGGGGATGGTGGTTCATTGAGGAGACAGGGGCTCATGAAAGAACACAGATGACTCATTGAGGGCATAAGGAGTTCAGTGAAGAGAACAAGGTCTGAGGGAGGACTAAGTGGAGACTAAGTGAATGGATGGGGGGGAGAGGGGCTTAAGGAATGAGAAAAAAGATGGGAAGCTTAGTGAGGGGGAGGGGAGTTTCTGCAGATATAGGAAAAAGCTTTCCTAACACTTAGAGCTATCCAAAAATGCAATGGGCTGTCAGGAAGTAGTGGATTCCCTCTCTACACCCCCAGTGAAAGTCTTCAGTCAAAGGCTGAATGACAACTTATTGGGAAGAGGAGATTCTTGTTTAGGTAATGATTGGACTATATGACCTCTGAGATGTTGTGATTCTGTGATGGAGGATGAGGACTCAGTGAGTGGGGATGTGAGCTTAGTGAGAGGATGAGGTACTTAGAAAGGGGGATGAGGACTCAGTGGGGGCTTGAGAAGGGAGACAAAGGCTGAGTGAGGGAATGGGGCCATTCCTAGAGTAATGGAAGCTCTGTAAGAGGAACATGGGCTTCTTGAGGGGCTAGGGAATTCAATGAGGGTAACAGTAGCTAAATGAAGGTGCTCAAAGAGCCATTTCCCAATAGACAGGTGGCCGAAGGATATGAAGAAAGTTCTCAAAAGAATTGCAAACTAATAACAACCATATGAAAGATCCAACTCACCAAGAAGAGAAATGTAAACCAAAATAACTGAGGTTTTATCTCACACCCAAGAAATTGCCAAAGATGACAAAAGACAGAAAGAGTCAATGTTGGAGGGACTATGGGAGGTCAGGCACGTTAATACTCTATTGATGGAATTGTGCATTGGTCCAACTGTTATGGAAAATGATTTGCAATAATGTGAGAAAAGTCCCTAAATTCCTCATACCCTTTGACCCAGACATTCCATTACTTGGTATATATTCCAAGGAGATCACAGACAGAAAGGCCTCGTGCATGCCAAAAAAATTTAAAGCAGCATTTTTTTTTGTGGTGTAAAAAAAACAAACTAGAAATAAATGTGTGCCCTTTGGGGAAGGGATAAACAAATTGTGATATATGTGTGTAATGTAATAAATTTCATGGTAAGAAATAACCAATATGAGGAATTCAGAGAACATAGGATAACTTGTATGAATCGATGCAGAAAGAAGTAACAGGAAAATAATATATACAATGACTATGTCTGTGTAAACAAACAAACAAAACCCCCCACTAAACTGAAGTCCAATTCTATGTAATGGTAATGACCAATCTTGGCCCCGAGACTAGATGAGGAAGCACCTCTCTCTTTTCTGTAGAGATAAGGAGACTATGAAGGAAGAATGTTGCATACACTGCCAGACAAAGTCATTGTATTGGTTGGGTTTGTTAACTGGTTTTCTTTTTCATGAGAGAGGGCACATTCAATGATGGGAAGGTGGGAAGGAATGTAGGAGGATATCCCAAAATGACTGTGATGTCAAAAGCAGCAACCAACATTATTTTTTTTTAAAATAAAATGAATTAAAGTGTTTGGTGAAATGATAAGGTTTTTGAGTGGGGGAAAGGGGACTCTGTGACTAAGGATGAAGTTCAATGAGGGTGACTGCTCGGGTAGTGAGAGCTGTGAGAGTACTAGGGGCTCACTGTTACGGATTGGACTGGTTTCAGTGTATGGAGTGGTGCTTGGGAATCCTGGGTGACTCTAGGTATTGATCTGGGGCCCCATTAGTTGCTACCTCAGCCTTGGCTGTAGGAAATCCTCTCCCCAGAAAAGTTCCAAAAAGATTTCATTTGTTCATGCATTGTCTTTCTTTAGTGTTCCAGTCTCCACCGGAGGTGATGATTAGAAAGACGTTGGAGACCAGACTAATGTTCCTAGGGAGTTTCCCAGGGCTCTAAATTTGAAGTCAGAAAAAGGCTTCAACTTGGCTCTGGTTCTAAATTTGGGCAAGCCCCTTCCTTTTTCTGGCCTCAGTTTTCCCTTCTGTGAAATGAGGCAGTGTAGTATAGTGGTAAGAGTATCAGACTTGTAGTCAGTTAAGATGAGTATTCAAGTCTCACTTCTGACATTGACTAGTTATATGCGAGTCACTTAACCTTTCTCAGGCTACTTTCTCATCTGTAAAATGGGGATAACAATACCTGTAGTACTAAGAAAAAGCTCCTCGTTGGCTGCCAGTACATTCTCACTCTGTTTTTAATTGTATCATCTCCTTGCACCCCCATTTTCAGTCTCTCTTGCTCTGCCCATCCTCCTTGGTTCCCTTCAGCCTATATACCAAACCCACTCTGATCCACTTTCTCCCAGGGATGTTGTCTCTGAACTCTAAATCTGGAGTCAGTGGGCTGCATTAGAATTTGCCTCTGCCACCTACTACCTCGGACAACCCTCTACACTTCTCTGGGCTTCAGGTTCCCTATTTGTAGAATGAAGAGGTGGGACTGGATGATCTTATCTCCAAGGTCTTATCCAGATCCAAATCCTAGGAGCTCCTCTGCTTAGTAAGGCAGGGGCTCAGTCAGTCCAGGCAGACTGGGTCTCTCCAGGAGCTAAGGCACCAGTTACTGCAGCAGGGCCTCATCAGACCGGACACAGAGACAGACGCAGACAGGAGACAGACTCACAGACACCAGACCCATACATGTGGGACCCAGGGAATCAGGTGGCATGGCCCAGAAGCTCAGATCTGGGACCATCTTTTATGGGGTGAGGGAGACTAGGACCTTCCTTTGGACCCTATGGTACTTAGGGGCCAGAGGCAACCAACACAGACATGGAGACAGGAGGGAGACAAGAGACAAGGGAGAGACACAAACAGGTGGGAAGGAGAAACCATCAGCAGGAATAGGCATAGCCAGTTCAAGCCCAGGAATGATGTGTTCTTCTTCGGGCTGGCAGGGGTATCTGCATCAGCCCAAACCACAAGGTTGCTCCCAGCTGTGTGTCTCTGCTGTAGCCTGATCTTGACCATCCTTCCAGTTCTCTGCCTTGACGCTCCTGGTTCCTAAGCCTGACTCCCACCCAACTCAGCTTTGTAAATAAGGTTCTGGACATAACTTAGAGCCATCACTTCCCTCCTTTCCGGGATAGACACCTGGGGATGCAGGAGAAAGTCTGCTTGACTCTGGCGAGAAGAGGGAGAGGCCTCCGGACCTCTCGAGGGGGTCGGGGGACCAGTCTCTGCAGGGTACCCTCTGCTGCCTGATGGGGACGCCTCCCGGCAGCGTTTACATAGGGGTAGCAAGGCCCGGATCTCCTCTTCGTCGTTGAATGGACTCTCTCCATACCTCTCCTCTAGTTGCCTGCGAAGCTGTGGGCCCAGAGGGTGGAAGGTGGGGGTAGGGGAAGGGAGGGTTAGAGAAGAGTGTAAATGGGAGATGGGGAAAGAATTTGAGGAATCAAAGACAGAGGGATGAAACCAAGACAGCCCAGTCCTTCCTCCCCCAATCCTGAAGTCATCTCTAGTCTCATCTGTGAAGGCCAGGGTGGTCTGACCCAGGAGGCTTAGCCATTAGGCTAAAGCTTGGGGTGAGGGAGGGCAATGTTAAAGGGGGAGAGACAGGTTGTAAATTAAGAACATCTCTAAATTCTCTTCCAGCAACAGAGCCCATGGACTTGTAGCTTGAGCCCTTGATGCTCCCTCCCCTCTTAGAAAGGACTCACAGGGCAGGGTGTCCCCCACACCTGATACGGACAATCCCCATGGGAGCCCTCCCCTCTGACACTGGCATAGTCCACATTAGTGCAAGGTACTATTGGAAATGTCTGAAAGTTAAGGTTAGAGGAGAAGTTATGGTTTACCCATTCCTGATGGGCTCTGTGGACCCTGGTTTCACACCTAGTGTTGCCCTCCTTCCCTCCCCTTGGAATGACATTCTGAATATGGGCAGGGATGGAGCACCTGATGGGCCCCACCCAGAGGCATCCCTTAGCAGACATCTGGCCCTATAGCAAGTAAGGCAGGAGGTCTCACATCAGTCTCCTGGGTGAGAGGGGACCTGTCTCTGACCTCAGCTTTGCAGATATGCCAGCCCACATAACTCTTCATTTGCAGAGGCACAGGGAGGCTCTAGGCTTGTGACCCCTCTCCCATGAGGACAGCCCCTGACTTTGTGCTCCAGGATGGCACAATGGGGAAGAGGCTTGGGAGGGCCATAAAGGGTAAGATTAATGACTGGATTTGATTCGCCCAAGATGTGACGTTGATAGATTGTGATCAAATGAGATAATAATTGTAAAAGCACTTAGCCCAGTTCCTGGCACACAGGAGATGTTATAAATGCTTATTCTCTTCCCTTCCCCCCCCCGCCCTTCCTCACTCCCTGGGGACTTCCAATGGGTGCCTTGTGCTTGGAACCTTTGTCTCCTTCCCTATCCAAGCCTGCTCTTAGGAGGGCAGCCCTCGGGGAGAATGTCAGTTTCCCAGAGGCTTCCTCTCCTCCCACCCCCGTAGCCAGGCCCACACAGCCTCTCCCATTACCTTCCGGGCATTGCCCCAGCCATATTCTTCTAGTTGCTGCTTGAAGCCAGGGTTGGGATTGGCGATGGGGCGGACTGCTTTTACTGCCTCCAGAACTTCGCGCCAGCCCAGTCCTGTCACCGTCATCACGTAGGCTGTCACAATGGTGGCACTTCGGGAGATGCCCGCAAAGCTGAGAATGCCCAACCTTTTTGTTACTGGCATTGATGCCTGGGCAACTACATCCACCCCCACTGTGGCTCCTCTTCTTGCCCAATCCCCTAATGGCCACTGAAGCCCGGGGGGGGAGGTTTCAGTGATCTTGGCATCATATAGCAGGGACAGGGGGTCTCTGGAATGATCTTTGGTATCCTCCAGGGGGCAGCTCACAAATGATAGAACTCATGATTACAAAGCCCAGGGAATTCATTCTCTTCTGTTCTCTGCCTCTCTTCTAGGGTACTCTAGCCTATCCTTTCCATAGGAGAGGAAGTCCTTCTGGCTGGACTTCAGCCTGGGGATTTTCTCCTCATTCCCAGGGGCTGAAGAAGCTGAGTTGCTCTTGCCCTCTGGTGCCTGGTCCCCTCATCCAAAACTATGGCTTACTGGAAAGGACACAGAAATGAGAGTCATGAAATCTGAGTTGTGTTAATAGCCTTCTGTGTAACCACTGGCCACTTCCCCTTCCTCCTTTCTCTGAGCCTCAGTTTTGCCATCTTTAAAGTGGGAGGAGTTTGACCAGATCTATGGAGACCCCTTCCAGCTCTGACTTTCTATGTCCTCTGTGCTAAGTAAGGTCCCTTACAGTTCTGAAGTTCTGTGATTGTATGATTCATGACTGCCCCCATTAGGGCAGATCCCTGGGCCCCATCACCCTTGGTGCTCAGCACAGCCACCTTGGTGGTTCCCTAGGGCCCACAAATGGGGTAGGAGGAAGAAGAGGTAGGGCAGGGCTAGAGCTCGGTCCAGTGGTGAAGTTGGTAACATTGCTCTTCTGTGTTTCTGGCCTTTATTTGCAGTATTTCTCTCCCCCTAAGGGCACCTTGTATGACTCTCAGCTCTCTGGCTAACTATGCCTCCTCAAGCAGGCTGACTCTCCCCTGGCAGGTCCCGAAGCTGTGGACCCTCCCTCCTACATATCCTCCAACAAAACTTCCAAGTGGGGAGCTCCTGGGTGGTGGTGGTAGCCACTGCCAGGTTGGAAATCTAAAGGATGGACGAATCCCTCCTTAGGCATTCATGATGTTAGACTCAGCAAAGAAAATTGGAGTTTTAACAGAGGACTCTTCTAGGCAGAAGCTGTCTAGCTTAACCCTTTCATTTCACAGATTAGGGAGCCAGGCATCAGAAAGGGAAAGTAACTTCCCAAGGTCACATAATGAATCAGTATCGGACCTAGGAGTAGAACTTGGGTCCCCCTAATTACCAGCTTAGCGCTGTTTCATTCTGTTCTACTATTCCCAAAGGAATGAGTCAGGAAGAATGGAATTCCAGTGACTTCAATGATCCTTTGGGAAAGTGTTTTTGGAACAAGGGGGTGAAGGATAGGGCAGGGGAAGGGGAGAGGGAGGCATCTTATTGAACTCAAAAACCCAGTTCGAACTCTGGTCCCTCCCTTTCCTGGGGTCCTTGTCCTTCGGTACAAAGAGGCAGTGACCAGCATTCTGGGCTATCGGGCAGCTCACCAGTGCACGAGGCAAGTCCCTCCACTGAGGCGACAGTAGTGGATGAAATTGATGCATTCTTTGAAGTGCTTCTTACTAGGGGAGAAAGAGACACCTGTGAATGGCTGACAGGCAGAGGGGAGGAGGGCTCTGGAGCTCTCTGCTCCAGTGTGCCTGGCCTTGCCACACACCCTTTTCCTTCCTCTAAGACATCACTGGATAAAGGGCCTTGAGAACCTCAGATGAGACAAATCAAAGATTGCTGGAGCCGTAAGGGACCTTAGAATTTAAATTGTCAGAGCAGGGAAGAGCCTTGGAAGGGATGGACTGCGGTGCAGTGGGAAAAACACCAGCCATAGCAGGAAAATACACACAATGACCACAACTAGGTAAATGGAAAGAATAACAGCAGCAAGGTAATGACAGTGACCACACTCAGTGCCCCCAAATAGAGGAGAAAATGCAGTTCTCTCCTTCCCCTCTTGGCAGAGGCATTACACATTGCCCATCCTGTCACACTCAGCTGACACGTCGATTAGTTAGGCTGACATGTTGTTGTTTTTTCTCCTCTCTTCAAAAAAAATTATTTGTCATAGGGGATGACTCTCTTTGAAGAGGAAGGAGAAGGGAGATATTTGTTGTTGTTGTTTGGAGGAAATTGGGGGTAAGTGACTTGCCAAGGTTCACGCTGCTAGTAAGAGTTTGAGGTCGGATCTGAGATTTGAACTCAGGTCCTCCTGACTCTAGGGCTGGTGCTCTATCCACTGAGCCACATAACTGCCCCAGAGAAGGCATATATTTGGAAATAAAGGAGATACAGAAACAAAAGAGATCAAGAATTTATTATTTTTTTAAATGAAAGAGCATTGTAGCTAGAATTACAGAACCTAGGTTTGAACCCGACCTCTGTCATATTACCTTTGTGACCTTGGGCAAGTCATTTAAACTCAATTTCCTCATCTATAAAATGAGACTAGACATCTCCTCTATTCCTAAATCTATGATCCTATGAACACAAAATATCAGAGCTGAAAGGGACCTTAGAACACAGAAAACAGAACTTTGGATTCAGAAGGAACCTTCACAGACTGAAGCAGAAAGACAGCTGGACTTTAAGTCAGGTTTTTCAAGTTCAAGTCTTGGCTCCAACACTTACTAATTACATAAGCAAGTCATTTTACCTGGGTGGGGAAAGTGCTCTGCAAACATTAAGTCATAATAGAAAATATGAATCATGATTATGAAGACATAGCATGTTAGAGCTAGAAGATACTGTTGGGATCATCTAGGCAAGGGTTTCTTCACCCTGGGGTCTGTGAACTTTTTTTAAAATACATATATTTTGACAACTCTATTACAACATAATTGTTTCCTTTGTAATCCTATGCATTTTACTTTATGAATTTAAAAATGCTATTCTGAATCAGGGTCCTTAGACTGACAAAGGGTTCCATGATACCCAAAACAATAAGAATGCCTGATTTATTACAACTTTCCCTTTTTACACAGGAAGAAAAACAGACAAGAGACATTATACAAAGAGTTAGTGGGACACCTGAGATTAAAACCCAGGCATCTTAGCTCCCAGTCTAGTGGGATACTACTGTGGTGCTAGGGAAACAATTCTGTAAAGTGAAAGGGTTTTTTTTGTTTATTTTTGTTTGTTTTGTTTTTCGTGAGGCGATTGGGGTTAAGTGACTTGCCCAGAGTCACACAGCTAGTGAATGTTATGTGTCTGAGGCTGAATTTGAACTCAGATCCTCCTGACTCCAGGGCCAGTGCTCTATTCACTGCACCACCTAGCTGCCCTAAGTGAAAGGGTTTTGGCAGCACTTTCTATGGTAGCAAAAATCTGGAAACCAAGTGGGTGCCCACTGATTGAAGATTGGCTAAAAAAAAACTACAGTATACAAATTTGTCCCGCTGTCCAGCCTAAGATGTAATAGAAAAAAAAAAGTAAGGGGTATTTTAAACTAAGTATAAAGATATGTCTATGCCTTGTCATCCCTCTAAGAAGTATTGGAGGGGGGGACTCTGCTTTCATTGGAAGAACCCCACCATTGACTGGGAAAATATTGGCTTTGCCCTGGTTAGCTCTTAAAAAGCTAGCTTGCTAGTTCTGAAGTCATCCCAGGCCAGCAGCTGAGGAAGAATCTAGCCCCTGAGACGGGACTTCTTAGTGGGGAGGAAGAGATTTCTCTCTTTTCCAAACCTGACTTCCCCTCAGCCACATGCTTGGAAATGGAGTGACCTGCCCAGTTCAGAGTTGTGCAGCAAAAGCCAAAAGCAGGTGTAGGTGGAAGGAAAAGCTTCCCTCCCTCTACCCCATATAGGCCATTGCAACAGAGCTGCTCTCTAAAGAAGAGATACCATTCCGGGTTGGGTGCAGAACCATACACTGTCCGGGCACACACAGACAAAGAGAGAATCAGGTCAAAAAACTTGAGGCAGGAAGAATCTTTGAGCACTGGCAGCTAGCAGCAAAGAGAGCAGACTATGGACAAAAATGAGAGGGGCAAACTCTGGGTACCCAGGCGAATGACCAGCCCAGCAAGAGATGCTGCCCCTCAAGGGCAGCAGCATCCACAAGGAAAAGAAAGAACACTAGGGCTGATAACACCAGAGATGAGAGTTGCCTTGGTCACGTGTCTTCCCTTTCTGTGTCTCACTACCAGTGTACTGTAAGTTTACATCCATTTTCCCCAATGACTCCTATGTGTATTTTCAGGAAAATGTCTCAGGCTTATGTTGGGAGGGGGTGGTAGTGGAATGTTTTATAGCAATTGTCCTTACTATACCATTTTAATAAATGCCTTTGCTTTTATTTGCGTCTGTTGGCTAATTTTTGAAGGTAAGCTCATTGATGGGGACTTGTAATATAGTTTTAGGACTGTGGGCCCAGATTAAACCTTTGAACCTGAGAGTCATAATAATCCTCTCTGAAGGTAGCTCCGGAGGATCAATACATATGTAATGGAATATTAGTGTAAAGTAGGAAATGATGACTATGAAGGATTCAGAGAAACATGGAAAAGCAAAACCAAGAAAACAATGTCCACAATGAATACAATGGAAATGGAAAGGACAATAAACCCATACCATGTATAACTTGAATGACCAAGCTTCACCACAGAGAAAAGACGAGATAAACCTCACGCTTCTGTCTAAAGAGGTGTGGAATACTGCACACGCTACTGTCAAGGTTTCTGGGTTGGTTGGTTTTGCTGAACTGTACCTTTCTTTATAGGAGTCAGGAAGACTCATCTTCCTGAGTTCTAACCTGGCCTCAGACACTAACTGTGTGACCCTGGGCAAGTCACTTAACCCTGTTTGCCTCAGTTTCCTCATCTGTAAAATGAACTGGAGAAAGAAATAGTAAACCACTTCAGTATCTTTGCCAAGAAACCCCAAATGGGGTCACAAAGAGTTGGACAGGACTGAAAAGCAACTGAACAACTCTTCTTTCTGTTACAAAGGAAAATTCATTTGGTAGGATGTGGGTGTGGGTGTTATATTAGGAAATAAATGTAATGTAAAAGCAAAAAGAATCAATAAAACTTAAAAAATAAAATGAAGTTAGTTTAAATGCCCTCTTCCAGCTCTAAAAATCTGATGATGAAATATAATTTATTGAATAAATTATTCAATCATTCCCATGACTTCTAAAATGTTTGGGGTTACCTTTTAGTGCTCCATGACATTTCATACTAGGTATCAGTAGCTGATCCAACCGGAGGTCCGTAGACTCCCTTGGAGCAGAGGGTCCTCACTACCCCTGCCCTCCAAGCCCCCAGTCCCTGCCTGCCATAGCCTTAGTATAATACTTACATAGGGACTTCAGGGGTGTCAGGCACTGGGATCCGAAGATACGTGATGTCCTAAAAGAAGAATACAAGCTCAGGAAGCTAGAAAATGCCAAAGTTCCAGCTTCCCATTTCCCAGCCCCAGTGCCCAGTCCCAAGATTCATTTCTGGGCCCAAGTCATTTCCCCTCTCTAGGCCTTAGTTTTGCAAACCCTAAGACTAGATGGTTTCTAGTTCTCAGCTTTGATATTCTATGAGTCAATGGAACTGAGCCCCAGAGAGGGGGAAGTCACACAGTGAATTTGTCACAGAGCAAGGGCTTAAACCTGAGATCTCTTGACTTCCAGTCCTGAGTTCTTTGTAGGATACAACTGTGAGGACAAAAGGAAAAACATGGGAATTAATAACCAGCAAAGCTAGGAGAGGTTTGGCTTCTTGTGGGCCTCAAAGTCTTTGGCATTGACTGTAACAAAGGTGATTTGACTTATCTCAAAATAAATATCCCCGTGCCTCGACAACAGGACTTTCTGGTGTTAAAAATATGTGCATTTATAAGAAGTCATATTAAAAGATGTCCTTTTGCCTAACATACACATATACACATACATACGTATATACATATATACATATACATGTATATATATATAGATACACACATAGCTGTGCCCTAGTAGCTGCCTACTTTGGCCACCTCCAGTCCTAGCTTTGTTTTTTTTGGGGGGGAGAAGGTGGGGATCAGGTTGGGAACACACTACATTAATAGAACAATTGATTTTTAGAGTTTTAAGGCCCTAAGAGACCAGCTAGGCCATTTCCTTCCTTTTATAGATGGGGAAATTGAAGCCCAGAATGTCAGACCTGAAATGGACTTTAGTACATAGAAGGGACCTTAGAACCAAGGATATTAGAGCTATAAAGGGAACTTAGAACATAGGACATAGAGTATCAGAGCCACAAGGGGGACCTTAAAACATAGAATGTTACATTTAGCAGGGACCTTAGAGACCATTTACTCCTAACCCCTCGTTTAACAGAAAAGAAACCAAAGTTTGGACAAAGACATTGACTTATTCAACATCAAGATGAGAGATGACGGGACAAGTTAGGATGATGTTAGGATGCAAGTCTTGTCTCTGATGGATACTAGCTGTGTGACCATAGCAAATTCCTTAACCTCTCTGTGTAGTCTCTGCATCCATGGAAGGAATTCCCACATTGGAAATTCTCCCCACTGCTAAAATCATAGGTTATAGACTTCCCATCCTTACCCTACCCCACCCTAAATAAGTCAAATCTGAGGCTAGAACCCATGTCTCCTGACTCCATTTCTGAGCTTCCCCAAACAAATTCCCATCCTAGGATTTAGCCTGCCCCCCCACCCCCACCCCTAGAAACTCCAAGAAGTCCTTTTCAAAAAGGCAACAACAGGTTCCCTTCACCCTTGGACTGAGTATGATCCTGGGCTTGGAGTCACTCTGGCCACATTCTCAGGTAGGGCACTAGCCAGAGGAGGTATTCCTGGGGTTGTGGAGCTCTAAGGGGTGTGATGCCAATACCTGCAGCAAGGGCTGGGGAGACTCGTGGATGGAGATGATGTGCGTGATTTTATTCCTGCTCAGCTGGTCTGGGTCTTTGGCATCTGAGAAGGAGGAAAAAGCCAGTGCTGATCTGGTGGGTTTATTTATAGCCCTTAGAGCCTGGCCAAGCAGGCTGAGAGGCCCCTCCATTCCCCTGCCCCTCCCCCTTTCTTCCTCTTTCTACCACAGGTCATACCTGGGAGCAGCATGGCTCTTGATTATCAGTCCAGGGCTCTGTCTACTAGCCCTTAGATAAACTAATTCTTGCTAAGATGTTAAAGGCTGACTGTGACTTTAAGAGTCACTTTTCCCTAGAACACATATGCATTTTAACCAAGAATGTCAATCCTTTACTTCACAAAAGGAAGGACAAAGTGAATGTGGGAATTTCAGGCACCCAAAGGCAGCAGTAGAAAAAGTACTGAATTTGGAGTCAGGAAGAATAGATCCCAGGCCTTCTTCTGCCAGACCTACCTGTGTGGTTTGGCCAGCTAGCTTCCCCCCCTGTAAATCGAGAAAGTTGGTCCAGACCAGGGGTTCTTAACCTTTTTTGTGTGTATGTGTTACAGGCCCCTTGGGTTATCTGGTAAAACCTACGGACCCATTCTCAGAAGAATGCTTTTAAATACATAGGATTTCAAAGAAAACCAAAGGTTAGTAAAAAATAAAGATGTAATTTTTTTCCCCATCCAAGCTCATGGATCCCTAAAAATCTCACACAGACAAACCCTTAGTTCTAGATCGTCAGTAAGGTCCCTTCCAACTTTGATAGTCTGGAATCCAAAAGTCCTTTCTAAGTTCTTTGGTTCCTTCCAGCTTTGACAATCTGTATCTGGTGTCTCAAGATCCTTGTTAGCTCTAATTTTCTGTGTTCTCTAAGATGGCTTTCCTCATGGTTCTACAGTGGGGAGATATTTTAGGGCAGGCAGGCCTTCCAGAGAAGGAACAGGGACTTAGGAAAAGGCAAAAGGGAAGGGAATGGGTACTACTAGGGCTTTGGGATTGAGGGGTAGGGTGGGTTAGGAAAAGATTGAGAAGTCATGGGAAGCGAGATGGTGAAGCTCTTGGCCATGGTGGGGTGCCCTAGGGTAAGGAATGGAAAGAGAGGGGATGAATTTCCTGAAGTCCATCCCCCTAGAGAAAGCAATTCATGGGGGAGGAAGGAGAATGGGCATGGCATAGGGGTGGTTACAAAGGACATACAATTTATGGCCAAAAGCTCTGAAAGTCTTTCCTAGTATGTTGTAGGCACTGAATGTTGGCTGTTTTTGCTTAATTGTTTTTCTTCATAACAATGAAGAGTTCAATGTGGGAGGGGATGGATGAGGCAGGGAGAGCAGCTTCCAGGAATAATTGTGATGGAAAGAAAAAAGGCACCAATAAAACATTTTTTAAAAGTCTGCTCTGCCTCACCCACATAAGGGACCCCTCCCTCTTCCCTATCCGTAAGCACTGCAAATTAATTCCACTTCCTGGGGTATGTGAGTATGTGTAGGTATGTGAGTGCAAGTGTGTTTGTGTGTGTGTGTGTGTGTGTGTGTGTGTGTGTGTGTGTGTGTGTGTGTGTGTGAAAGGTGGTAGGAGGAGGGTGGGAGGTTTCATAGTTCAACACTAGAACAGCCCATTGTCTCCCCCAGGAGCCAGGTATGTATTGTGTACAGCACGTGGTAAACTTAGCAGCTTAGGACAGGGCAAAAGCCCTTTGAGCTGCCTAGAGGCCGGTGAAAGGGCCTGGGATGGAGACAACTCTGAAGTGACCTGTCCAAGGTCACACAGTTACTATGGCCCAGCCATGATGTAAACCTTGATTTCCCAGCCCCAAGTGCTGTGTTGTTTCTCCTATACCACACTGCCCTTCTCACTGTAACATGGGCAATTGGCCATTGGCCAATATTGGTCTCTGTGTGCCCTGCAGAATAGGACTGTCTTCTCCCCATTGATAATAGTAACAACATATTGCTATTTTAAGATTTATGTGGTATGACCCTCCAACAACCTTGTTATAAAAGGAGGTCTTATAAGCATTATTATCCTCCTTGAAGTGACTGCAAGAGGTTATAGAGTAAGTTAAAAAAAAATAAAAGCTGCCCCATGGTGCTCTGCTGGGCATTGCATTCCCAGTGGCTGCCTCCTTTGTCCACCTCTAGGTCAGGCTCTGGACACGTCCTGGACTAGGTCCAGAGTAGGACAGGTTAGGAGCAGCATCAGCAGGCCAAGCCAGTTGCAGTAATACGATCCTTTTCCTCCCTTTCCTCTTGAGCACTTTAGGTTTTTAAAACTGGATCCCATCTGTTACCTTATTTTATTCTCCCAAGAAAAGGCGGAGACTTGCCCAAGGTCAGACAGCCAATTTACAGCAGAGGCAGAAGCAGAACCCAGGTTCCTCCTGTTTCTGAAAGCACACAGCTTCTGGGCAGAGTCCTGCGGCCCCCGCGGATACCTTTCTGACCACCTCCATCACTAGGAAGACCAACTAAACAAGCTGTCTTTTCAGCCCCTGAGGTAATGGGTATGGAGGATGCCTTCCTGAACTAGCTGGTTCGGTCTGTCCACGAACGGCCTTGCTCTTGGGGACCTGCTCTTTATTCCTTCCCCTTAGTGTCTTCTATCTTCCTCCCCTATCTTGAGCAGTGTATGCTTAGGACATTAGAAACGCAGAATGTCAGCACTAGAAGAGACACTGGACATCATCTAGTTTACCTCCCCCTACCTCCTATTTTGCAAAGGAGGAAACTGAGGCCCAGAAAGGATGCAACTTGTCCAGGGTTGCACAAGAACTAAATGGCAGAACTGGGATTCAAATCCAGGTTCTCTGACTCCAAATCCAGTACTTTTCCCACTATACACCACTGACCCTCATTTAACAGACAGGGAAACAGGTCTAGTGAGGAGAAATGTCTTACCCAAGGTCACACATTAAGTCAGTGGCTCCACCAGGATTAGAACCCAGGTCTTTTGATTCTCTTTGTATGAGAAAATGTATCCTTAGACAAGGGGAAGAGCTGTCTGATCTTAATTATCTTTCAGTTATTCTTCTCACCTCACCCTCAGTTCTGTCTGAACTGAAGCTACCACTAAAGCCTCTGGGTGAATTTCAGACCTTTCCCTGAGGCAGAGGAACTTATGCTCCACTGAGGGAAACCGAGGCATAGAGCTGGTAGCCAAGGACTTGGGGAACAAATCCAGGCCTCCTAGTCTCAGGCTGTCCTCACTAGCCCTGGAGAGCTATGGGATGTTTTGCCTATCCAAGTGCTGGGTCTATAGGATTGATTGGGGGGGGAGGGGCTGGGGTTGGGCTGGGCAGTGTTTGGATGCTGGGGGCCTGGGGGCAGGCACTGCTTACCAATGAAGTTGCCCAGATAGAGTCCAGGAAGAACCTGTAGGAGCACGGAAAGGAGGAAGGTCAGATTTGGGCCACAGTGGGGTTGCAAAGATGGCACCTTCTCCCCTCACCCAACCACCGGGCTGTCCACGAGTTGGAATGAAGGAGAGGTCTTCTGGCCCTTGCTGCCCATGCTTCTCAAACCCTTAGAGCTAGAGATCATGCAATCCAAATCCCCTCAACTTTGCAGGCAAGGAAACAGACCTAAAGAGTGGAAGTGATTCATCTAAGGTCTTATGGGGTAGTAAGGGGCAGAACTGGGATGCAAACCCAGGGCCCTCTGCCACCAAAACCTCTTTCCATTAATTATACCAATACTGACATCAGAAACAGCCTGGTCTCTAAACATTCCTTAAGGAGTGACCTGAGCTTGGCTGAAGATACATAGCTTCTTTCCATCTTCCCCTGGCCCTTGTGCCCCATCTCCACTTCTGTAACTGTCCCCATGATACCTCTCCCAATCTGACCCACCCTTTCTTCTTTCTGAATGACCCAGTCTGCACCCAGGGACTGAGGGGCCAGCCCAGATCAGGGAGGAGAAATCTAAGAATCCTGATGGTCAGGGATAAGTCCAGCACCCTGTTAGCCTGAGTAGATATCTTGATGATCTTCCCTGGGTCAATATGATACTGTGGCTCCAGGGAAAGTTTGGGGACAGGGAGTTCAGCACCCAGAATACTGAAGAGAGATATGCTGCACTCAAGGAAACACTAAAATCCTGGCCCTGAATTAAAAAGATCTCTGAAAGGCAGGTAGGGACAGGGACAGGGTCAGACCTTTAGGAGAAGAGAGACAGAAATACAGAGGTAAAGTCATTGAGAAAAATAAAAAGGCAGACTTAGAAATGGAAAGGGGGACAGAGGACAAAGGGAGAAGTATATAGAGAGACAGAGATGGAAAAAGGACAGACACTTGCAAGAGAAATTTGGAGATGGAGAAACAGAAGGAAGGAGAGGTACAGATAAGACAAAAATAGAAATACAGAGGATGCAAGGAACGATAGATGGAAAGAGATGGGGACAGAAGGACAGAAAGGGATGGAGAGGAATAAAAAGAATATATAGAGAGAAGTACTGAAAAGGCCTTGAGTGATGGAGAGGGAAGAATAGGAGAGAAAGGCAGTATACAGAGACTCAGAGAGGGAGAGAGGGAGGGAGGCAAGGAAGAAAAGGGACCGACAGGACAAAGAGAAATGTAGAAAGGGACCCAGAGATGGAGGAAGGGAGGGAGAGAGGGGCAGAGACAGATAGATAGCCCAAAAGGGGAGGTCACACACAGTGAGGATGAGATGGAATGGCAGAGATGAAGGACAGAACTGAAATGGGAGGGAAGGCGACAGACATGATATACACAGAGCCAGTCAGTCGCTTCCGCAGTGGGTTGAATAGAATTGAGTCAATTTGGTCTCAGAAGAAATTCCTTTTGGGGGGGATGGTGGGACTGGACAGGTGGGGGTCTGCATTGAGGCTCAACCCGCCCTCTATCCCCACTGACTCCTTACCTTGTTCATACCATTCCCCATGGTCCTTGTGGGCCAGCCGGCTGCCCCTGCCTCCTGCTCCCAATCAGGCTCCAGCCCGACAGGGCCCCCAGCTGCCTGGGAGGTCAGATACAGGCGCAGGCGCGGGGCTCTTCCTTCTGGTCCAGCTCTGATGATCCAACCAGCTTTCAAAGGTGCTACTTCTCCCTGAGCCGGCCGGCAGCCTAGGGCTGGGAGACAATGGGCAGAGCCGGAAGGCTCCACCTATTCCCTAATCATGTGCAGGCTGCTGGGCTGCTGACTGGAGGCCAGGCTAAGCTAAATGAACAAAAGCCTCAGTGTCCCTTAACCCCAAGGGCTGTCTTTTGTACCCCCACTAGGGACAAGGAGAGATTGTTTCAACCTTGCAGTGGGAGGCTGGCTCTCGCCTGGAGCCCACTGGCCATGCCCAGGGGATGTGAGCACCTTTGGGGGGAGGGCAAACCCTGTCAGGCTGTCACAAGCAGGCACCATGCATGGATCTGTGGGAAGCTGGACATGTTGGGGGCAGAGGGGGCAGGGAGGGAGGGTGGGGGAGGAAGGAAGGAGGGGACAGGGAAAGATAGTTATTTCCAGGGACTGATTCTGGATGGGATCCCTGTCATTGCTGTGCTGGGTTGAAGATACACAGCCTCTCTGTACCTTGGGTGAGGGAAAGGGGATATTAAGTGAGGGGGAGAGAAGTAGGAATGGGACGATATCTGTCTTAGTTTCACAGACCCATAGAATGTCAGGGCTGGAAAGGACCATTTCACAGATGGGGACAATAAGGTGCACTAAGGAAAAGTAATTCATTCAAAGGCACACATTCAGTTGGTAATAGAGCCTCAACTAGAACTCAAGTCTCTCGACTTCTAAACAATGGCACTCTCTAGTTGCGGAGGAAGTAATAATAGGGACCTCTTCCCAGGATCAGTCTACTTAAGGGAATATATCCCTAATCTAGTCATAGCCTATTTACGGGTGCAGACAGCCCAGGAATGTTTCACTTGGCATAACCAGGGTCTAACACAGTGCCTCACACACAGTAGTTGCTTAATAAATGTTCTTTGAGTTGCGTTTTTGAGGGCAGACAGTGACACCTCCGCAGAGGAGCCACCCCCTCGGCTCTTCACACACACACACACAGAGCAGAAAAGAGGGGCGGCTGGAAGTGACATCATCCTCAGGCGGGTATCCACAGGATCCTTAAGCACAAGGATACATAATTGTACTGCATGCATATACAGTGCAACGAGCCTTGAGAGAGGGTTTCTAGGACCTAGGTGGCGATGAATACTGTCTCTGCCACTCACTTGCTATGTGCCTTTGGGTAGATCGCTTTCCCTCTCTTGGTCTTTAATTAACCAGAGTCACGTACCCTACAGAAAATAAATTTCGTCACCTGGTAAAGCGAAGCGCTCAACTAGGCTACAGACGCTCAGCCGTGGGCAGGTGAGCGCGGTACAAACACGTGGAGGGTGCCAGAGAGTCCCCAGGGTGCGCACTGCGATAGGGTGTCTGCCCCGCCCCTGCTCTCGGTTCCGCCTATCGCGTTCAAGCTCAGTCTCTGATGGACGGGGCGAGGAGGTGGGGGAAGAAGCAGAGGGAGGAAGCGGGCCACAGCGTTGCTTCGGCAACGCGACGCACAGGCAGGAGACGGACGCGGTGGTTGTTTTAAGGCAGGCGCAGGGGGTACTCCAGAAGTCCGGGAGGCAATGCAATGTCCAAACCGAAGGTAAGAAAAGGCCGAGCCAAAAGCAGCGCTGCCGTCCTCCCGAGGAGGCAGACGAAGCTGCCGAAGGCCCACGAACGCCAGCGTCAGCTGGGGATAGGGGACGGAGTAGAGAGCTCCTCCTGGCCTGCGCATGTTTCTGAAAGCAAGTGGGGCAAGAGACTACAAGTCCCAACATGCATTGGACCGCTAAGGCTGTGCTGGTCTGTAGGGAGAGAAACAGGCTCTCTTCTAGTGGCTGTGGGAGTGTCCTTCACCGAAAGGGGGCGGAACTTACAGTGTTACCTTTACTCCCAGGCTTCCATCACTTTCTAGGAACCTTTTTGCCATCCTTCCCCTTTGCATCCGGGCTGCCAAGTCAAAGGCATGCCTTGGATACGGCCTGTGTAGCCAGGGTTCTAGGCCACGTGAGGAGGTGGGGGTAAAGGGCTAAAGAGGTTGTCAGCTCCACCTCCCCTGGGGTGGGAGGGGCTTGCAGGATGGTCCTTGAACTTACCTCCTGCCTCCCTGATTGGTCCCATTTCAGTTCATGGCCTGTGCAAAGCCTAGGTTCAAGGTCTTGCCGTATAGCCTTAAGTATTATCGGACCTGAAAGGAGCCCTAAAGATTTGTTTAGTCTAATTCCTTCACTTATTTTTTTAATCTTTTCTTTTAAAAGAATGACATTTTATTCATACCTTTTGTTTTTACATCACAATAATTAATTTGCCCTCTTCTTTATTATTAGTAATATTACTAGAACTGGACAGTTCCTATAGAACACTTCCAAGTCCAAAACCCACCATGGGTTCCAGTCCTAGGCACCCTGGCTTCAGAGATTCCAGGCCAGGCTGGCTTGATGTACCACCCCACCTGAAATCCTGGCTCCACGGGTACCATGGCTCAAACAAACACCCTATCCAGGCCCTTTTGAGCTGAAGGGATAAAAGCGAGGGAGCAAAATAAGGATGGCCCTTCCCTTTCTTCCAGTTTAAGCCATGGCATCTTCAATGTAAGTGAACTGGGATCTTCACCCCCTGGACCAGGGGTGGGGAACCTGCAGCCTTGAGGCCCTATGTGGCTCTCTAGGTCCTTGGCTGCGGCTTTTTGACTGAGTCCCAATTTTACAGAACAAATCTGATTTGTTCTGTGAAGTTTGGATTCAGTCAAAGGGCTGCACTTGAGACCCTAAAGGGCCACATGTGACCTCCAGGCTGCAGGTTTCCCACGCCTGTTCTGGACTCTGTAGAGTTTCCACAGCAGTTGTTGGAAAAGAATCTAGTGGAAAAATTGGTAGGTGATGCAGGTTATTTAAATTGGACATGCCCAGACCAACTTGGGTTACAGTGATTTGTTGTATTCTTTCATATGGTTGTTTATAGTTTGCCATTAAAAAAAAAACCAACTTCACATTCTTTGACAACTTATTTTTGAGGGAATAACTCTTGGTCATGTATTTGGATCTCGTGTTTTCAGAATTTTTTGTTATAGAGCTATTTTCCCAATTGACAGTTTCCCCTTCTGTCCTAGCTGTTTGGATTTTGTTTGTGTGAAATGTTTTAAAGTTTATGTAGTTAAAATTGTCTGTGACTCCTTTTATTATCACCTCTGGGAAAAGTATCTTCTTCCATTCTTCTCTGATATTTAAAAAATTATGTGACCATTTCTGTTTAAGTTGGGTATTCCTTTAAAACTCAATGTAAAAAAATTTTTTTATAGAGACTTATTGTGGTATAGATGTAGGTGTAAGCCTATTTCCTGCCAAACTATTTTTTAGATTTCCCAGTAGTTCTTGGGGGCAGCTAGGTGGTGCAATGGATAAAGTGATTGGCCTGGAGTCAGGAAGATTCATCTTTCTGAGTTCAAATTTGGCCTCAGAAAATTATTAGCTGTGTGACCCTGGGCAAATCACTTAACCCTGTTTGCCTCAGTTTCCTCATCTGTAAAATGAGCTGGAGAAGGAAATGACAAACCACTCTAGTATTTTTGCCAAGAAAACCCCAAATGAGATCATGGATTCGGACACAATTGAAACTGAAAAACAACAAAAGTAGCTCTTGTCAAACTGGGATTCTTTTCCCATATAGTTAATGTTCTTGGGTCTCTCTGGCCACTACTTCTCAGTTTCATTTGCTGGATCCTTATACGTAGCCCACCCCCTAAAATTGGGTATATATGTATATGTGTATGTATATGTATGTATGTGTATATACATATACACATATATATGTATACATACATGCATACACACACATACACACACATATATCTCCCAAGGCTCTATCTCTACACCTGCTCTCTTTTATCTGCTTCCATAGGTTCAATTATCATAAGTATATAGATGACATAAACAGCCTTAGTCTCTCCTGAGCCCCAGACCTGCATCATTAACTGCTGTTAAAGCCCAACATGTGCAAAATAGAATTCATTACCTTTCTCCCCAAAACCTTCTTCCTAACTCCCCTATTTCTTTTCTTTTCTTTTTTTTTTTTTTGCTTTTAGGCAGTTGGGGTTAAGTGACTTGCCCAGGGTCACACAGCTAGTAAGTATCAAGTGTTTGGTCTGAGGCCAGATTTGAACTCAGGTCCTCCTGACTTCAGGGCTGGTGCTCTATCCACTGTGCCACCTAGCTGCCCCCTAACTCCCCTATTTCTGTTGGTGATACCATAATCCTGTGGTCACTGAAGTTTGTAACTTAGGAGTCATCCTTAACCCTTCACTCACCCTCCCCTCTCATAAACAGTTGCCAAGTCCCGTCAATCTCCACAGTATCTTTTGAGCCCATGACCTCGTCCATTCACATCACCTCCGCCCTCTCTCCTACTCCAGGCCTCAAGTCCTTCTCTTCTCCATTCCATTCTCTACATAGCTGCCTGTCTGAAAGGACAGGTCTGCCCCCGCTACTGCCTGTTGAGAAAGCTCCTGTGGCTCTCTGTTGTCTCCAGGTTAAAACACAGCCCTTTCGCTATTGAAATCCCCTCGCTCTCTGGCTCCAGCCTAGCTGCACTGTGCACTATTTAGCTGTTGCCTCTCCCTCTCAATGCCTCTCCCCTTGCCTGGAAAGCATTCCTTCTTTACCTCTGATTTGTACAATTCCTAGCTTCCTTTTAAAGTTTAGCTCAAGAACGACCTCCTACTGGAGGCTTTTCCTGATCCCCTCTGCTTCTAGGGCCTTCTTCCCCAAATTACTTTGTGTTTTGTTTTGTGTATACTTTGCTTATTTGTGTACATGTTGTTTCACTGTCAGAATGTAAGCTCTGACACACAGGAGATAATGCCTACTTATTACTTGGTTGGTTTGGTCTAATCTAACTCTGGGGCTTCTGTAACTTCTCCATTTTAAAGAGGGAGAAATGGAGGCACAGAGAACAGAAGGGACTTGCCCAAGGTTTTGTGCCCAGGCGGTGGTTTGTGATCCAAGAACAAAATGGTCCCATATCTCCACAGACACAGAGACCGGCCTCACAAGGCCTCCTTCCCTTCATCTGGCAACAGTCTGACCTTTGGTAGAACGTGTTGGTCTCTTCCCTGTCCTTCAGCACAACTGTAAGAAAAGGGCCCTGCATAGGGAGACCTCAGGCAGTTCCTGCTGTCGAGTTCTCCTGCCTGGTGGAATTGCTGATCTCCTGCCTCCTTTTTTTAAATTCCAGAATCAGTGTGCTAAGGGCCATGGTGCACCAAAGGCGAAAGAGCGGTGAGTGGCCTGGCTTTGGAGGAAGACAAGAAGGAAAGGGCTTTGGTTGTCCGGTTCCGAGGCCAGAAGCAGTTATATAGCGCGTGGCTCCAGCGTTTGTAAAGCTGTTCAGCTTCTGTTATCTCCCTTGATCCTCCCAGCAGCTTCTGGGAGCATAGCAGTAGTGGCTTTGTGGCCCTTGTTTTGCAAATGAGAAGGCAAGGCGCAGAGTTGTTCCTCCTGAAGTCACTCACCTGGCCAGAGAACTGAGTGACTAGAAGGGCAGAATGCTTTTGGATTTTGTAATTGTTCCAAAGTCATTCCAGCTGAGCAGTGGTGGAAAGAACATTAGCTGTGGAGTAACAAGACTTGTGTTCAAATCCTGACTATGCCCTTATTATCTCTGTGACTGGGCAAGTGGCTTAACCTCTCTGGGCCTCAGATTCCTCATTTATAAAATGAGGGGGTCAGACAACCAGATGACCTGGAAAGGCATTTCCAGATATAAGTCTGTGATCTATAACGCATTCTGTTTCCCTGATGAGGGCCTCATTTTTTTCCTCCCATCCATAAAATGAGAGGATTGGGCTAGATGGCATAGAAGTTCACTCTTAGACCTGACAGTCTGGGATTCTTAAGTGTGTGCGAGATAAACTTTGTCGTTTGTTTTATTTGATTGGCAACAGCAAAATCTCTTCCCTTATCTTCTCCATAGTTTTTTTTTCCCCTTACTTAGCCTAGTTGTTCACTCCTCACTTTTAGAAATTGCAGGATCCTAAGCTCAGGGTCTTGGGATTCCAAATTCTGAAGCTAGGAGGGAGTTGAAAGACAGGTTGGAAGGCTGTGGGGAAGGCAAGGGAAGGAAGGAGAGGCGGAGGGAAGAGACTTACAGCCTTCTTTTCATATCCTTCTTCTGCCTTCCCAGAACTTCCCTTGGAAAGTTGTTGACTTTCTGAAATTTTTGATGTGGATGTGTCTCTTAGGGACCAGAAAGTATGCATCCGATTCAAGTGTGCTGTCATGAATACTCTTACGGACGTCCTTCGCTGCAGGCCTGGCTGGGTGGAAGTGAAGGAGTAAGGCAGCCCTTCCCTCACTTCTCTGCTTTGAGTGTTTCCTGCTATCCTTTGGATTCCCATTTTCCCTTGGTTAAGGAGAGGAGGGGGTAGTTCTTGACCATTCACACATTGGAACTCACCACAAAGAAAGCAATCTGCTCAATCCAGACTGTGCTTAAGGGTCTTTTTGTCTCAGCCCCCTGTATGACCTCAGGTACAGCCCCCAGTTTAGTGGGTGAACTGCTCAAGGTTGAAGAGCCACTTTTCCAAGTGACCAGTGGTTTTCCTATTGAGAATGTATAGGAAAAAGCCAAGCTCCCATCTCCATATGGTTCTCTAACTCCCATCTCTGCTGCCCCTCCAAGCCAAAAGGGAATGGGGACAGGAAATCTTAGCCCTACCTCCACAGGGAGGCAGCAGGGACCCTCCTAGGTGTTTCTTTGTATCCTGCAGAACTAACTCCTTTGAATATAGGTCTGGGTGCTCAGTCATCTGAGAACTCATTCATTTGTGAGACCTTTTAGCTGAATTCCAGAATATTTTTCTTTTCCTATTTCTCTCCTATCTCAAGGGTTCCTTTTCCAGCTAACTCTCCATTATCTGTACTAATGCATGAATAGGGGGGTAGTGTTCTGAAGTGGATAGAGGAGTAGATTTGGAGTGAGAGGATCTGTATTTGAATCCTGGAAAAGTCAAGGCCTAAATCCAGTTCCCCTGATTCCTTGTCCAGAGGGGTCTTTCTCTGGTGCCCTTGACCTGTAGGTAGGCCTTCTCTGGGCCTTAGGCCCTGCCCCTTCAGTAGTCAGAGAGTAGGAAGGTTGGGTTGTGGTTTCCCCAGCCACTCTCAATTGTCAAGACTACAATCCTTCAAGTTTCCTTGGTGACCAAAGCTTGTGTTTCCTGCAGTGAGGGGGAATGGGATTTCTACTGGTGTGACGTCAGCTGGCTTCGGGAGAACTTTGACCACACCTATATGGATGAACACGTCCGAATCAGCCACTTCCGAAATCACTACGAGGTGAAGCATTTTGGGGGAGCTGGAAAGGCGTAACGGGTCCCCCTTGGAAGGATTACATTTGTCCTTGTTTGGGGCAGTCTCTTCTTCCCAGCTTGTTTGAGTTGCTGGAATATCCAGGCTGAAGGGAATCGCTTTCTCCAGGCAGCAGTATAAATTGAGCATGGGCACAGAGCCTAGCAGCACAGGCTTTGGCCTGGCCATGGGCATAAGGGTTCAGATGCACGTGGGGGGCCAGAGGTGAGGGGCATGGGTTGAATGCAAGGCTCAGGTAGGAGAGAGGACTGGCTGACCCTGTTCCTATGTGGTCCCTCAGCTGACGAGGAAGAACTACATGGTAAAGAACCTGAAACGCTTTCGGAAGCAGCTGGAGAGAGATGTGGGCAAATTAGAAGCAGCTAAGTGTGACTTCTTCCCTAAGACCTTTGAACTGCCTTCTGATTATCATCTCTTTGTGGAGGAGTTTAGAAAAACTCCTGGCATTACCTGGATCATGAAACCTGTGAGTCCAAGAAAGTCATTACACACACACACACACACACACACACACACACACACACACACACACACAGCAGGAAGCCATGGTTCTAAGGCATCAGAGAAATCAGTCCATAGGACTCAGAGATAATGAATATACTCCCTGTTCCTTCTCAGCTGCTTTTCTTGAGAATTCTACAAGGAAGGTGGGGAGAACCCTGGGTTTGGAGGCCGAAGCCCTGGGCTTGAAGCAGGCTTCAAACAACTTCACAGAACAAATCCCCTTAATAAAAGAATTTGTTCTGTAAAACTTGGACTCAGTCAAGGGGCCACACTTGAGGCCCAAGAGGGCCACATGTGGCCTCTAGACTGCAGGTTCCCCACCCCTGCCTAGAGTGTTTATGTTTGTAGAGATTCTCTTCCCTACTCCTTTTCTAATAGATTTATTCTTGACTAAATATTTTAATTTTAAAATGCATGTCCCTTCTCTGGTTTGCTAGCTTGGTTCAAGTGGAATTTAGCTAATTTTGGAGGTTCCCAGCTAAGCTTGGATGGGGAATGGAACCTGGGATGAATCTAGCACTGAGCAGACTGGGCTGTATTTATGGGGGTCTTGTCTGGGATATTTAACGATGTTCATTGAGTGTTGGGTCAAGCGTTAAAGATGTCTTTGGAAAACTTTTTTGGAGGGACAGAAAAGTCTAGGCTTCATTGACTTTTTCCCCTTTTCATTTTTATTGAAATAGTTTGTTCTTTTTGTCCTTTATGTTCTCCAGTATCCCTGGCTTCCCTACCCCCTTTGCCTTGTAACAAAGAATAAAAAAGCAAAGGGAGAAGCAAATGCAATAAAACTAACCACACCTAATCATATGCTGGTAAATGTTTTAACAGTTAAACGTCTAAGGGAAAAGAAGTGTGCACGATAACACTTTTAAGTTTAATCTTCAATTAGCATTTTCTCTATCCCTTTGAGGTTCTCATACTGGAAATTTAACAACCAGCTCTCCAAACTGGTTGGAGCTGCAGCATACCCCTGTTCCATCCCCACTGTATACTCAACTCTACAAAGAAGAGATCGCTTTTTCTCATCAATTTTCTGGGGCCAAGCTTGATCAATGTAATTATATAGCGTTGTTTTATTTTGTTGTTCTTTCTATTTACATTGTTGTAGTCATTGTGCATGTTATTTTTCTGGGTCTGCTTACTTCATCTAAATCTTCCCATGCTTCTCTGATTTCTTCATCTTCATTGTTTCTTATGGTGCAGTAATACTTCATTATATTCATGTACCACAATTTGTTTAGCTATTCCCAAATCAATAGGCGTCCCTTTTGTTTCCAGTTTTTTGGTACCAAAAGAAGTGCTACTATGAATATTTTGGTGTCTATGGGACCTTTCTGGTTTTGACCTCCTTAGGATATATGATTAGCAGTGGAACCTCTGGGTTAAAAGGTATGGACATTTTGGTCACTTATTTTTAGCATAATTCCAAATTGTTTTCCAGAATTTTGGGATCAATTTACAGCTCTATTGACAGTGTACCAGTATGTATATCTTTCTGTAGCTTCTTTAATGTTTACCTTTTTCATCTTTAGTCATTTTTGCCAATGTACTTGGTATGACCTTGGTATGACCTACAGGATTCAATAGAATGCAGGCTACACTAGATGATAAAAATCACCTGTTACACCTCTGTTGCTGTAAGTGTATCAAAGGCAGCCTCCTAATTGTTCAGAGAAAACAGTGATGGGCAGGAAGACATTGGAGGTGACAAAAGGTGGCCCCAAGTGGCTCTGAGACCTTTTCTCAAATATGTCCTGTAGACAGAAGGACTGAAATCAACTAACTCTCAAGAGGTGCAGACTCTGATTAGAGGTGAGAAGACTTTCAAGTTAGAGGGAAGAAGAGGGGAAACTTTGTAGCCAGATGCTGTAGTAGTGGCATCCAGGAACCAGAAGTCTAAGCAATTCCTGACACCTCACAGGGCAAGAGGAGGAAATATCCAGACTTTGAAAACTGAGAGACGTGCTGCATGGAGGTCCAGGTGTTAGGCAGCTGAAGCTGGCCAATCTCCGTCAGGCTGTACCAGAGATCTTACCATACCCATCCCAGCAGAGAGTCCCTTTCAAAGGTTACCTCCCAGGGTGAAGGCCTTAATCCATCCTGCCTCTCCTTCTAGTGTGTGTTTGCAGAGGTGGTTTTCCCTATTCTTTTGCTAATTCTTTTGGTACTTCTTAAATGTTTGAAATCCTTTGTAACTCCTGTTAAATCCAATAGTTTAAGTGATTACAGGATTGAGTAGAATAATGCAGGCTACACTAGATGAGTGTCTCAGTCATCCTTATCAAAAGCCAGTTATCAACAGACTTTTGAAGTGTCTCTATGTGCTAAAAGTAACAACAAAATGAAAATCTTTCTATTCTCTAGAAGCTTTGTTCTGTTGGAGGAGACAGTCTCTACATTTATAAGCATATCTAGTAAGAACACAAAATAAACAAGGTGGTTAAATACAACATAGTTACAGAGGGAGAAAGAACACTATCAGTTGAGGGAATCAGTAAAACCATCCTAGAGAGAAGCTTGAGTAGAGACTCCAGGGAAGTGAAGGATTCTTTAAGGCAGAGGTGAGAGGCCCAGGCGCTGACACAACTACCACACAAGCAGGGAGACAGATGGGAATGGAGTGTAGTATTTGAGGATCAGGATGAGGCCAGTTTCTCTGGATTGAAGAATGTGGGGAGGAGAGTAAAGTAGAATTAAGCCAGAAAGATGGATTATTAGGCACGTACTATATGCAAAGCACCGTGCTAAGTGCTTGGGTTACAAATAGAAAATTATGCACAGACCTTGCTCACACAGAGCTCCTATTTTAGCGGGGGAGACAACACCTAGGAGATTTCAGCTGCAAGTCAGATGGGAAGGGTCCATAGTCCTTAGGGTACGGCAGCAAAACAGATGGTAATGCATCTTCTTTGATGTTTCCACTAATAAAATCTTATCTGTTTCTGATTTTGAATCATGTGACAGTGTTAAGGACTTTGATGTTGAGAACTTTCTTTTCTGGGTCTCGGGAAGTGGGGGCTTTAGCACCTGCAGAGGCATTTGCCAACCCACATCTTTATAGGGGTTGCTTCCTATGATATGTGTTGAGGGCTGGGCTGGAAGTAGGGCTTGTGACCTGGGGGTAGGAGAGACGTTGATACTGAAGCATATTCTTGGAATTCTTGAGTATAGGGTCTTAGACTGTCTCCATCAGGCTACAGGGAGGAAGGTGGTGGTCGAAGTGGTGGCATTGGTTTGGCTCAGCTGGCATATGCTACCTACTGTCTCTCCCTCAGGGTACCTTGCTGGTTCAACTAGGCTGTGATGAATGAATGAATGAATGAATAATCAAGCATTTACTAAGAGCTTACTAATGGGCAGACACTTTGCTAAGTATCGGAGATACAGATCTAGGCAAGCAAGAAAGTCTCTGCCTTCGAGAATCTGAGATTTACACTGGGGAAGGCAACACATAAAGGGTAGATAGAAGCCAGGGGAATAAAGTCATGGTTTGGAAATGGTTGGGAAGTACTTGGAGTCCTGGTTTGGTCAAGACAAAGTGAAAATTAAGCTATAAGGGCTCAGGGACCCAGGAGCAAAGTCCAGGTGGTTTTGGTGGAAGGGGACAGAAGAGTTTATATTTTATCCTCGAGGCACTAGGAATCTACTAGAATTTATTGTGAAGGGGAATAACATAGATCTGTGTTTAAGGAAAATCACTCAAAATCACTTTGGTAGTTGTGAAAAGGATGGATTAGAGTGGGAAGAGATGAGGCAAGAGATGAGAAATATATGAAGGTGGAAAAGGCAAAATTCAACAATTGATTGGCTATGCAAGCTGATACATGAGTGGGTGAGGAGTTGAGGGTAACACTAAGGTTGTAAAGCTGAGAGGCTGGAAGAATAGAGGTGCTTCTGACAGATATAGGGAAGTTCTGAATAGGAGTAGGTTTTGGGGAAGAGATGACCACTTCTCTTTTGGACATGTTGAGTTAAAACGGTCTCTTGGGCCATCCCTTTCAAAATGTCCAGTAAGCAGTAGGACTTAATCCTACATTACCAGAAGGAGGCTGAAATTGGACATATAGATGTGTGAGCAGCTGTGTGGATGTGATAATTAAACCCATGGGAGCTGATGAGGCCAAGAATTGAGAGAGTGTAAGGAAAAAGAGGAGAGAGCCTAGGACTGTCTTAGGGGGAGCACTCACAGGTCGGGGGCCTGATATCCAGAGGAAACAGAGGAGTTGTCAAGACAGGTAGGATAGTGTCATAAAAACCCAGAGATGAGAGAGCATCCAGGGAGAGAAGGTGCTCAACACTGCAGGTGCAGCAGAGAGGTCTGCAAGGATGAGGACTGGGAAAGGACTGTCAGGATTATTGGTTAAGAGATGATTGGCAAGCAGTTTCAGCTGAGTAATGAGGTTGGAAGCCAGCTGAGGACTGAATTAGAGCTCTGGAAAGGAGTTTAAACAGCTTTCTCTAGGAGTTCGGCCAAGAAATGGAGTAGAGATATAGGGTGGTAGGTTGAGGTAATGGATAGGGAGAGGGATGCAAGTATGGAGGAGCCCTGGGTGTGTTTGAAGGCGGTAGAGAAGGAACTAGTAGACAGGGAGAGGAGATGAGAAGATGTGTGTGTGTGAGTGTGTGAGAGAGAGAGAGAGAGAGAGAGAGAGAGAGAGAGAGAGAGAGAGAGAGAGAGAGAGAGAATGAGAATGATTAAGTGCTATATTTTTGCTGGGCACTGTGCTAGGTGGATACCAAAAATAAGACAGTCCCTACCCTTAAGGAACTTCCATTCTATTGGGGAGACACCATGAATATATGTAGTGGGGATCTAGCAGAGGCATAAACAAAAAAAAATGAAGTTAATTTGGGAAAGGGAGGCACTGGCAGCTGGGGGAGCAAGAAAGGCCTTTTGTAGGAGGTGTTGCTTGTTCTGGGTCTTGAAGAAAACTGTAGATTTCCAAGAGCTGGAGGTTGGTA